CAATGAAAGATACCCAACCTATTCACAAAATGATAATGCAAGTTAACATGGTAGTGTATTCACTTATGGTATCAGCAAGGATGAAAATGTTTAGCAGGGAAATAGACACATAGCAGGGGTAGCGTAAGCAGAACAACTTCCATGTAGCTCGATTTGGCAATATCTGTAGAAATTACAAACATGCCCTTCGATCTAGGACTTTCTTCTCTCTCAAGAGTAAGCTTCCAGACCCACACATTTGTCCTGTCCTTGCAAAGGATTGGAAACACCATAGTTTTCCACTAACAGGAGACCTATTAAGTACTTTATCATATAATATACTTCTAACTGGAAAACCATGGGGTCATCATTAAGAATGAAGAAGGTTTCCTAGGTACAGATACAGGAGAATCTCCAAGATATACCAAGTTTGAGAAGAAGGCGAGTGTAGTTTGTAGAAATGTACCAACGTCACTTCCTTAGTTGTGACAAATATGCCATGTGGATGGAGGATTTAAATGATGAGGTGAGAGATTTGTGGAAAGTCTCTGTACCATGTGAGTCTAAAATTACTGCATATGAAAAGTTTATTAAAAAATACTAATAGAGATGCAAAGCATGTGGGTAGTATGATCTGCATATATGTGTGTGTTTTAAAATGTACATGTGTAGGTTCTATTCGAAAAGATAACCAAGAGGGGGGATACACAAGTGCTGAATACTATTTTATTCTTGTTAAATTGTGCTAGGGACTGAACTATGTTCCCCTCAGATTCACATGCCAAAGCCCTAACCTCCAATATGATGGTATTTGGAGGTATTTGGACGGGTCTTTGAGAAGTCATTAGGGTTAGATGAGGTCATGAGATTGAGATTCTCACGATGACGTTAGTGTTCTTATAAGAGATACCAGAGAACGTAGACAAAAAGCAGCGGTGCACAAGCCAGGAAGCGAGCGCTCACCAGGAACCCAATCAGCCGGCCCTTTGAGCTCAGACCTCCCAGCCTCCAGAGATGTGAGAAATAAACTCCTAGTTTTTAAGCCACCTAGTCTCTGGTATTTTATTATGGCGGCCTGAGCTGACTAACACACATGGTATGCTTATTCTTTTCTTTTCTTTTCTTTATCTTTTTCAACTACGTTCTACTTTTTGTTTTATTTATTTTGGCTGTGCCGTGCGGCATGCAGGATCTTAGTTCCCCGAACAGGGATCGAACCTGCGCCCCCTGCATTGGGAGCGTGGAGTCTTAACCACTGGACCGCCAGGGCAGTCCCGTATGCTTACTATTGTAAACAATGACATTAAAATGAGGGAAGGAAACTGAAGGAGTAGGTGGGGTCTAGATCCTAAGGAGAATGAGGGCAGGATGTGGGACAAGGATGGAGCCCTGGCAGTGGGGACAGCCACGTCCAACAGACAAGGAAGAGGCCACGCGATACCCCATGAGAGCAGGGCCAGCGAAAGGGGGAGGCCAGTGCGTAAGCTGATGAGCCAGTGGGGGTTGTCCCACCTCTGCTGTCCCCTCCCCGGGCCTGAGCCTCTCTGCTGTCTGAGTTCTGATCCCCAGCTCTGCTCCGAAGGGCAGAGACACTTCCACTTCCACCACACCCCTGGAGAAGAGAGGTTTAGACCTACCTGTGTCTTCCTTCCGGAACACTCTGATGGTCAGCTTCTGGGGTGCATCTGGACAGACAGACATAACAGTCCCCTTTTCAGCGGCAGGAAGGTAGGCATTGGCCCTTTTCCCCAGAAACACTAGAAATAGGAAGAGGGTGGAGTAGTGTCCTCTTTCCTTCCTCCCCAGTTCCAGCTTGCAGGGCTCAGCATGCAGTAACCCAGGCCCTCCCTCCCGTCCCCAGTGCCCTCCGCCCTCAGGGACCCGGTGTCCCTGCCCCGCGCTCACAGGACACGTTGAGCCTGATGGTTCTGTCTGCGCTCACGCCAGCTCCGGGGAAG